GATTTTCTAAGTACAACTACACCACAACGAACAAGTATTGCCAACGCAAATGGTGTTACCTCTCCCGTGGTCGGTGCTGGAACCATTGGCCTCTCTCCATCCCTTACTCTTCAAAATACTTTGCTTATCCCATCGTTGTCTAATAAATTGATGTCTGTTGGCCAAGCTACTGAGCAACTAAATTGTTGTGTACTCATGTATCCCGACTTCTGTTTATTTCAGGATATTCTCACCAAGGAGATCATTGGTCGTGGTACTAAGAGAGGGGGGTTGTACTATGTGGATGATTTCAGTATGGGAAAGGCACATAGTGTGAAGCACTCATCGACTTGGAAGGATCGACAACTTTGGCTATGGCACCGGCGTTTGGGGCATCCGTCTTTTGGCTATATGAGACATCTATTTCCATATTTGTTTTCAAATTCTTGTACCACTGATTTCCAATGTGATACTTGTAACTTAGCCAAGAGCCACAGAGTCTCTTATCTACAAATAAAAGTGTTGCTCCATTTGCTTTGATACATTCTGATGTTTGGGGTCCTTCACCTATCTCTACAACTTCTGGCTTCCGGTGGTTTATTACCTTTGTGGATGATTGTACCCGCATGACTTGGCTCTTCATGATGAAAAATAAAACTGATGTGTTCCCTATATTTCAGTCATTTCACAAGCAAATTGAAACTCAATTCTCTACCAAGATTCAAGTCCTTCGTTCTGACAATGGGGGTGAATATATCAACCATGATTTTCAAACTTACTTCCAAATGCATGGCATCATCCATGAGACCACTTGTCCTTAAACTCCCCAACAGAATGGTGTTGCGGAACGAAAAAACCGACACCTCCTTGAAACAGCACGAGCTCTTTTGATTGGAGCTCATGTTCCTCGCCACCATTGGGATGATGCTATAGTCACCGCAGTCTACCTCATCAACTGAATGCCTTCCAAAGTTTTAGACTTCCGGACTCCATTACAAGCACTTGCCCAACATGGGCCCTTACCCTCCGTTCAGATGCTTCCGCCCCGAGTCTTTGGTTGTGTGGCATTCGTCCACCTCCATAAGAATCAACGTGGCAAACTTGATCCATGTGCTCTCAGATGTGTTTTTGTAGGCTATGCTGCCCATCATAAGGGATACCGGTGCTATCACCCCTCCAGTCGTCGTACATATGTCACTTTGGATGTCACTTTTATGGAGTCTGAAATGTTATTTCATGATTCGATGTCCAACTCTCCGCCTCAAAGAGACATACAAATAGAACCAATGGGCAAGGAGGCTCTGGAAATTCAAGAACTTGAAGATTGGAGCAAAACGGATCCCAAAAGTCCAGAAGAAAATGTAACCTGCCCACCCGCGACCGGTCGCCATGAGCCCAGCGACCGGTCGCATAGAAGTACTGAAGGTGAAATTCGACTCTGTCCAAATCCGACCGGTCGCCAGGAGCCCAGCAACCGGTCGCATCAAAGTACTGAAGCTGAACATCGATTCTGTCAAGATCCGACCGGTCGCCAGGAGCCCAGCGACCGGTCGCGTCTAAGTACTGAAGCTGAACATCGAATCTGTCCAAATGCGACCGGTCGCGTCAAATTCCTGGAAGTTTTCGAATCTGCCCAAATGCGACCGGTCGCGAGGAGACCAGTGACCGATCACTCCACAGCAGAGAGCACAACCTCTTTTCATACTTCACCGAAGATGATGATGAAGACCCCCCTCACATCTCAGTACCAGCTGATCAATCTCCTGAGAATACTCATGAGGTACGTGATTCCATTACATCTACTGTTTTAGTTGATGAAACTGTTAGATATCAATTACCCGATAGACAGAACCGTGGAAAACCGCCAATTTGGTATTCACCAGATAATGGCAAGGCATCGAAGTATCCAATTGCAAATTATGTTTATGCGGAAAAATTATCTGCACCCCTCCAAGGCTTTGTACACCAGTTATCCGCAATTCATATTACAACCAAAGTGAGTGAGGCATTGAAGGATCCAAAATGGGTTCACGCAATGAAGGAGGAGATGCATGCTCTGGAGAAAAATCACACATGGACACTGGAGAATTTACCTCAAGGAAAAAGGATTGTCGGATGCAGATGGGTTTACACCTTGAAATACAATGCTGATGGGTCAATTGAACGTTACAAAGCACGACTTGTGGCAAAGGGATACACGCAAACATATGGGATTGACTATGAAGAAACCTTTGCCCCTGTTGCAAAACTTAACACCGTTCGAGTGCTATTGTCCATTGCAGCAAATCTTGATTGGCCTCTCCACCAATTTGATGTGAAGAATGCCTTTCTCCATGGAGAACTCACAGAAGAAGTCTACATGGATATCCCACCAGGATATGTTACATATACTCATGCTAATGTGGTGTGCAAATTACTCCATGGAGAACTCACAGAAGAAGTCTACATGGATATCCCACCAGGATATGTTACATCTACTCATGCTAATGTGGTGTGCAAATTGCGAAAGGAATTATATGGATTGAAGCAGTCTACCCGGGCATGGTTTGGGCGTTTTACCTTGGCAATGAAGAATTATGATTTTAAGCAGAGTAATTCTGACCATACTCTGTTCTTAAAACACAAGGGGGGAAAGGTAACGGCTCTCATCATTTATGTCGATGATATGTGATGAGCAAAAGAATCTCAAATTTCTCTCAAAAGGAAAATGAAACTTTGTATCAAACTTGGGAAAAATTTAAAGAGCTTTTGAATTTGTGTCCACACCATGGCTTTGAAAACTGGCGTCTTGCTAGTTATATCTATGAGGGACTTCTCCCCCGTGATCGCTAATTTGTTGAGTCTATGTGTAATGGAAATTTTATGCAAAAAGACCTTGATGATGCCTTAGAATTTTTGGATGAAATTGCTGAAAAAGCTCATCAATGGACTGTCCCTAGTCTAGTTGAGACCACTGATC